AAAAAAAAAAAAAAAAAAAAAAACAGCCAGACACACCAGATTCAATGGGCCTCAATAATTTTCGTATCATTGGATTCCAATCCCATCTCTTTGTCGTAAAAAAGAAACATCATTGGCCGTTCAATAGATGAGATGGATAAACGATACAAGCCGTTTGGGAGTCCTAAATACAGGTAATTTTCTACTATCTACGACTTTGTGCAGCATTCAAAGTAAGGCACAAATCGCTTCGTCATCTTGATATCTTGCCCTTATTTTCCAATACAATCGCAGCCTTTGATCCACTGTACGGCTCGTTGAAAAAAAAAATAAAAAAATAACCCGAACCATCATCATGACAAAAGGCACGCAAACTTCTTTGTCGAGCTTAGTCTTTCGTATTGTTATCGGTACATTCGATCGCAGAAACGTGTCTGATGGAATCCCGCGATTAAACAATTTTGGATGGTCATTTGAATCTTGATACCGAGCGATTTATTTTTGATACAAGCAAATGACTTTCTTATACATTTTTTACCTCATTTGCTCACTTTTATCAGTACGAGGTACGATAAATTGATGTTTTGAAGGTCGTATAAACAGTACAATCGACCATTTGGTTTTTTGACAATTGTACCATCGTTTGATATTGTTGACTCATACTTTTAATATTTAAAGTTGCCAACCACTTACAAAGACATGATTGAACTTTTCTTTACTCCCAAGTACCTACAACACATATAAGTAATAGAACTCAGGCCATATTCATATGGCAAAGCACACTTAAAAACGGCAACATGGCAATGATAACTTCACCCACATGATAATACCCGCAACAATGGAAAGACCGACAAAAAAGTAATGCACCTCTGCCTCCGTTACCCTTGGCAGTGGCTGAGAAGATCTGCTATTAAAATCTCGTTTCAATCGCTCACGTATACACGCGTCTACCAAACGACACACGTGCCCGCAAAGTTCCCGGTTCTACTGCCCGAGCCCTTCTTTACGTTGGAAACGGGCAAGGGGTGGCGGGAGGGTCGGCTCTATCTCGCACGTCGTTTGACTTACGAGTCCTCGGGGGCCGAGGGAAGGATATAGGAAAGGAGCGCGTTCTCTTCTCTCCCCGAATCGTCCCTCCTGGTATTCCGTGTACACCCGGTCGAGGAATTACTCCACATGGAGTACATGTACGCACTCGATCACGCATGCGAGCGTTGTTGGTTGCGGTTTTGCTTTTCATCTTACGCGGAAGAATTTCAGTTTTGTTGCATTTTCACAAAATCATCGTCAATGCATCGTTTACTGATTAACAGTTACCCTATTTTATCTTAATTTCTACTTTATTGATCAGTGCATGGAAGATTTTATGAGATCCTGACTCAAGGATGGGGGTGTAGAGAAATACCAAGTTTTCGTTGAACCGAGTGAAAATTTTGTGAGTTGTGAATTGTATACCGTGTATTTTAAATGTAAGGCTACGAATCGCAGAGAATGATGGGTAGAGTGCGAGTGGAGTAAAAGCAGAAAGATGCACGAGTAGATGTCTGCAAGCTCGAGTATTTTCATCGAAAGCTCATCCAGAATTTAAAAGTACGAAGAGATTCGATGCTTCTTCATTACTGTGCATTTGGCATTCATTGCAATAAGGCTTCAAAAAAATCTGACGAATTGGGAATAAATACAAAGTGAAGTTGAAAATTAAATGCCGCGCTAGATACGAGAATATTTAAAAGGAAATAGGAGAAAAACTTATTTCTCCCACGTTTATATGTACATACGCATACACGCTTATATTTGTATCCTGGAGCTGATCCCCTTCAAGAGTGAGCTCATCACCCGAGAGACATACGCTCGCCTCTTCCTTATCTTCTTACTCTTCGCGTTTAATTTTCTTGAAAGGCTCTCATGTATACTACCCTATCTTTGCCATACTTTTCTACTCTGTGTATGTGTATATAAATACTTATATGTCTTTATATATCCTTGCCAGTTATTGGTAGAGCCTTAAAGCATCGAAGCATTTCTTATTTCTTACTCATGACGTGATCGGTGTTTTTATAGATACAACATCTTTTTTCTTTTTTTTCAGGGTATATACTTTTACATCGAGATGCGAAGGATCTTTTCTTTTACTTTTCCGTTCGGTAGCGAGTATTTTATCTTTGCTCCTTTTTTTGCCGGAGCATATTGGCTAGTACAATATTGATGAATTGAAATACATACAAGCTGCTTCAGGCACTTTATTCTTGGGTACTGATTAATCAACTATCAAGAATCAGTTGTCTATAAATTTTGGAGTATGGTAATTAATTTTTTAAGTTCCGTGAAGTGTAAGAATCAATAAATATCATAAATCTTACATAAAATTATTTTGGAGGTGGGTTTAAAAATCTTTGTTTTTTATAGTTTTTTGAACGCAGGTGTTAATGAGCTCCCAACGATTACCACGGAGTAAAATTTCTAAAATTTATACGGCAAAGTCTTAAAAAACTTCGTATCCATACATGAAAAATACTCAGTAAACTCTTATGTTTGATAACAACTTACAGGTCATGTAAGAAGGACCTATTATCTCAGTATGGAAAAATTGGATTTAATGTCACCTTTGAAATTGTGTGCTGGAAAATTTGTACATGAAACTAAAAGTAAAAGATTCAACGATAGTTAACCAAATGGCCATGCGTAATTTTTATTTAGGCCTCAAATCGTAGTTTTGGTGTATACTTTTTTTTACTATTACTGTTAATAAAGTAATCCATATTTTATGTATGTTAAATTAAAGAGAATTTTTTTATCATAGTAATATAGCTAAATCCAAATATTTTCACGCCATTAAGACTGGACGTTATTTCTAAAAAAAAATTACGTACGAATATTTTAATTTCCAAAATCTTGTTCTACTGCATGTTAGTTGTATTGTCCGTGGAATAACCGAATATATTGACTAAACACGAATATAGACACTAAGAAACACATATTGAAAAAAAGAAGCTTAAGTTCCAATGGAGCTTTATACATACTCGCCAAATGAGCGCTGAAAGGTTAAAAAACTCTTGAGGATTTAATTATTCCCTTTTTAGCTCTGTTTTTCTTCCGGCCCTCGCCATTCCCCTTAAATTTCTGTAATACGTATTCATATCCGCACAACCTCCATTCTTGTGTACAGAAACATCCGCAAGCACCTCGCTTGTTTGCTTATTATCTGGAACGTCAATTCTACATAGCTACTTGGCTCTTTTATCAATTTTCTTCCTTTGTTTGTCCATAACGATCGGATTTATCCAGTGTGAACGTTTATCATAAATCGTTGTGATACAACCTATAGATAGATAGTTTTAAAAATATTTTTACTGTAATTATCATTCCCTGAATCTCTTTTTTCCAAACCTTACTGAGTTTTTAAAATATTTTTGTCCATAATCCACACTGTCATGACTCACATTGTCACTGCAAAATGAGTAATATTTGATAAGAATCTTTGGTGCAAAATGGCGCGTAAGAGTAGTGATCCCTTCAATTTCTTACCTTGTAGTGCAAGAATATCCCCTTTTCAGAACCCGTTGTCGATCGGCGGATTAAAATAAGCTATCGATACTCACGGTAAAGCCTGTCAAATCGATACAGTGGGTGGGGATCAAAAAGGGAGAGAGAAGCGATTTTCCATTATCGGGATTAATCTGTTTTTTTATTAACGCCTCTGGAAAAATTATTTTATAAAAACTATTTTTTAGTGCAAATCATTATTTATCGAAATGAAATATATACTACCTTACTGAGGTTAAAAATTTCTACTTACTCAATATTAATGATCGGAAATCGAGTATTTTTTCAATTACAGACGGGACTTACGTTTTGGTGGAATGAATACGTACATGGCCTAAAGCAAATACGAGGAAAAACATTTCAATACTCCTAAAGCAAACATTACAAGAGCGAATAACGCTGTCATAATATTTGTATACGGTAATTACATGCGGCTCTAGAAAAAAATCCACGAAAAATCACGAATCGTTGTGGTCTGGCTGAGCCAACACTTTGAAACGTCATCGCGTCAGTAGCATATGGTCAGACAAGTCTCTGGCACTGATTGTACTACATAAATTGTACGTGGCGAGTGCGTACGTATTTGGGTGCTCGCGTAGCTGTGGCTTGGATTGTTCCTGAGTTGAATTACAAATAATACGTCCGATATTTACTGCGCGAGTGAGAGTTTGTTGGAGGATTATTTTCTAAAGTTGGTCTTGCCATTGTAATGTCTAGTCTGTAATCTGAGGTAGTTAACTAATTTTCGTACATACATGCAGTATGCACAGCCTAAAGTTGTGAAAATACATTTTTTTACGTATACATGAATGTTGATGTTTTTACACGCTGTATATCACTGTTAAAATAGATTATTTTCACTTTTATACTTTTGGGTGTCCTGGTTGGAATACTTATCATTAGTTTATGATGTATTGTTCACTGATGAAAATTCCTACGATTATAGAATCACACGTAATCAAGTAATTGTTGCCATTGTTATTTGTAAACGTTATTTTATGTATTTTATAAGTATACATGTACAGCCTTTTAAAAATACAAAAAATATTTATCATACGTCGCTCACTACTGTGCCTTCCAGTTTATACGTAATTCGGTTTTCGCAATCATTCAATTTTTGTCAGTGAAAGTGTGCGTCTTCTCTTTCTGCTAAAAAGCCAAATGAACTATTGAATGGACGTGGGAGCCAAATTCCATTTACTAACATGTTTACCAACTGGTTTGATTCTCTGTTCAATATTTTTTCGTAATTCTTACTTATTATAACTTTAGCCCTACACAACTTTTCTAAAATTTCTATTGTACTTACGTAGACTTCAATTGTTTTAAAAATAATCTTCAATTAGATACTATAGGTATAAAAAAATATCACTCACTGCTTTACGTAGCATCTCTTAATAAAACTATCAGATATTCCCTTGCTATTTTCTCGGTTGTGAAAAAATATAACGTCATAAAAATTGTAGTGAAAGACTCACCAAGAATTTGACTGAGGACTGTGCGGCCATCCTCACCGAGGCAGGCACTACGGGCATCGAAGGGATTTGTGAACTGCACAAACGCGTATCCTTTGTGCATGGATATACCTGAAAAAAAATTAAATCATCAAAATCCAGAAATCCATCCATCGACAGTTGATGATTCATTTCACACGATATCATTGGCACCATACATAGACATTGTACGATGGAGTAAAAAAAAAAAAAAGGAAAGCTCACTCAGTGAAAGTACTCAGAAGCACTTTGTCGATTTTGACATATCCTTCATATCCTTGATGTCTCCAGCCATTTTATTGGCGGAGCGGGAAGGAAAGGAAAGGAAAGAGCAATACACGTATGAGGAAGGACGTAGAAGAGTAAGCTGTTTATCAGCCAGTGGCAGGCGTAGCTGACCCAATGCATGGGATTTGAAGGTCTTGCCTGTATAAAATACATGTACATATTACGTGATGCACATTCTACGTGTAAGTATGTTGGTATATTATATAGGTATGCTCGAGTTCTGATGAAGATATGAAAGTTTTCAGTGTTTGTCGCTGACAGTAGCTATTTAAAAGTGGCATTGTGACTTGATACTCTTTCTTTTGTTAAGAGACCTCTATAAAGCACGTCTATGGAGAAAAGGTTAAGCGCCAGAAGATTCGTCCCAAAAGATCCTGCGCTAACAGAAGAAAATCTGATACGTCTTCATTCTTCTGCATAGTATCTTTTCAGCTTAATATGCTGATTTCAGCGATGTTTAATTACTACGATATTCTGTTATTAAAAAGGATTGACGAGTTTCTGAAAAAAGCCACGAATTGGAAACTCCATTTATTTGTTGCTAACGATCCTATTAGTACTGAGGCAATTTTAACGTTCGGAATAGCACAAAATAAGTCAAGAGTAATGAAATGCAAAAGGAACTCATCAATTTTTGTCATTACCAACGGGGATATGTAAGGTAATGCACTGTCTTGATAAAGCTTTTGGAAGAAAAAGGTTGTCTTTGATCTTTGGAAAAAAAAATAATGTGACTTCAAACGTGTAGTTTTTCTACTATCCAATAGGAACGAATCATTCAAAGCATAGAAAATAATAGGGCAAGGCAACCTTGGAACGTCTTTACACACATTTTTTTTTTTAAATATCTAAAGGATTAACAAACAATGTTTATGCATAAAACAAAAAAAATGCCCAAGTCAACGAAATATACAAAATCATAACATCAAAAAGACCAACTATATCCAGAAATAGGATGCAAAAGGTAAAGGGATGATTCCATTCATCCTTTAACTTTGTGGTGGAAGAATGGAATAGCAACAGAGGATTCCTCGTGGTCGAGATGCTTCGAGCTGAATTCAGTCGAGCGTAAACGATAGCCGTAGTAACACAAGATAGTGCAGGTTGAAATGCTTGCACCACCAAGTTTTCTCAGTCAAAGTGTAGTCGTATTTACAAACACTATATACTGGTACATAGTAAGGAGTGTTGAAAGTACCCACCGATAGTGAAGTGAAACGTGACATTAAAACTTATAAAACACGTCGGTCAATGTATACACACCTGCTAATCTGCCGTATCGCTGAAACATCCGCTCGACGTCTGTTTTGCTGCATTGAAAAGTGTTGAGGTTACCAACAAACACTCGGGAATTCACGGCTTGTGGATCCTGTGAGTTTGTTTGATTTCCCACTTTGCTCATCTTCATCGCCTGAAACATCAAAATTTAGGATGCTTTGTTAGTAGATGCCGGTGTATTACGGCTTATTTGTGCTTTCTGTGTAACTAAGTAACTAAGTTTTCCAACTCCTCTGTGTTTGTCTCCAAGTGTAATTATGATGGTTTTTAAAATTATTTGATTTTCATGTTTTCTATTTTTAATAAAGAGATTTTTATGTATAGACTTGAAGCTATTGATGCCTTCAGTAAATAAAATTGCCTTATGATATTAGTGTCTACATAGTTGTAAATATTTTGAGTAGGCTTCTATTACTGTTTTGGCAGCGTTAAATGAAAATAATTTCAAATTATTGGTCTAATAAGTAGAAAAAATGTAGTGATCCTAATCAAATTTACAAATGAACGTCAGTGCACATGTATTCTTCAAGCTGAAATACCAAGCCAGAAAGCTAATCAAAACATGTAACGGCAAAAATGACGTTACTTAACAGCAGTAGTAGAATGCAATCTGCCTTCATGCACCTTGCAAAATTTGTCATAAAAATCAGAGATAATGTCGATCATACATCGATGATCCAAAAAAACGGGAGTATACTTAGATGAAGAGTTTTCTCGATGACTTTTTTGAGTAGGTACTTATCCTATTCTCAACACTCGAGAGTGAAAAAAAGGTCGTACGTACATCGACTGCGCAATTCAATGTCGTCAGCAGGTGCCAAAACTTTAGGGAGCCCATGAATTATATACCTGCAGCCAAACGAGTGAATATTCATTCCCCAACGTGTATGAAAATGTTTCGTATTATAATGTACCCACCCACACAGTAACGTGTACGTACAGCGAGCGCGTGATGCGGAGAAGCCGTGGATGACGAATTATACGTACGTGAGGGGTAGAGTTGTTCGTATCGCGCGTATGCATTATTCACGTTGTTATACCTACGTATGCGCCTATACACGCGAAATAGGAATGCAGCGTGTTAGGGACGAAACTGGCAGTTTATATGTGTGTACTGTATATGTTCACGGCATAACGCGAATCGTTTTAAATTTATGGGTATTACACGCTCGACCACACGCGTAGGTGCGTACATGCATTGCTTTGAAGGTCGTGAATCGTGACTCTTCAACTCGATCGATTTTCGTTTTAAATTTTAAAGGGCAAATCGGTAAAGTTTTCGTTGTCATGTGGAATCGACGACGCGTTAATTCACGAAAAGGGAGATAAAGAGAAAGCCATCATACATTTTTTCCTTCCAATCAGCAAATGCTGCCGGATTCCAGAGATAATCGGGGATTTGGATAATTAGTATTCACAATCACCTGAAATAAGCCGGTGGCATATTTGCATCGCAGCTTTTGGATCTTTCTTTAAATGTGGACTCACACGCAGGGGAATTTTCGGAAAGAGTGAGAAAGAACAAGAGGAGGTGGGTGGATAGACTGAGGATATTAATCTGATTAAGGACTATGGTAATCATAGGTGGTACGTTCATCACGATTTCTTGATTGTGAGGACTGTCGAGGTACAATAGGTTTTGGCAAAACTCAATGAGGTGCTTATGCTACTACAATTTATCGCTGAGGCTTAGTCTAATCGTCACTCCTTTTTTTTGGATATGTTTACTAGGAGACATGAATGATTTCTGTAGTTTGAATCGATCGAAAATATTTTATAGTTATAAGATTTAATTTCGTACCATTATATGTTGCACAAAAAAGCAATAACTTTTTATCTGGTAGGCAAGATGATTGCTCCCATTATTCAAATTTACCGTAGCCAAAATGTAAATCTTACCAAAAATATACTTAAAAATCACCGGTTTTAACAGCAAACCAGCAACAAAACGAAATTTCTCACACGTACAACGTATCCACAAATTCAGTAATTTCAGATTGTGTCATTCAAGATTTGCACACCCACTCTAAATCTTTATTAACTAAGGCTGAATGAGTGTCTTCATCTTCTGATGATTTGTTGAGCGTGTACTTCTTTGAGTGAAGAGAATCAATTATCTTTCTCACCCCATCAAGTGGAATATAATTTTTAACGACATCTCAGCTAAAGTACAAGTTTCTTGTGCTACTAGATTTGAATTTTGCTCAAACAATCCTCGTAATGTGCCAATCATGATTGCAATGCAAAAGTAATTAGGTAAGTAAATTCTCACATGATATATTTTTACTTTTTGAAAAACATGGTTTTGAATCAATTGTATTCTAAGACCGTTTATTTTTAAGGCACATGCAGGTGATATTATTTTTCCAGTTCCCTAGTGATATTCACATCTTAAAATAATTTTCAGGTCAGTTGTAAAAGAGGGACTTTGATATTACAGCGAAATCGTATAGCATCAGTGTGTGAAGTGAAAACTAATAATATCAATCTTGATTATTTTGACAAGTTTCTCGCGTCCGATTACCGAAATAGTTCGTTCACATAGGAGGATAGATGGTTTATTATTCGAAAATTATATACACAACGGAATATCCAGGAAACGTACCTTCGTACTCTGATAATATGGTCTTATACCCTCTCGCTTGCTATTCCTAGAAACGTTGAAGTAATTTCAAAATAAGTGTCCTTCTATTTATAAACTAATTGTTACTTACTTCAAAATATGTGTGGTTAGTATTTAATATAAGGTAAAATGCTGTCAAAACGTACAGCATTGGTATTCAATATTAGATTACAGTTTTTAATGAAAGTTTAAAAAATTTTTTAAGAAAAGAAATTTCAAAACCTAATGATTCGCATAAAAGTATACAGAACAACATTTTATTATTTGTCGTGAGAAAATGACAGACAAGACAGAGTAGGTTTGGAAGTTCAGAAGAATTTTTTAGTTGTATCGATTAATTTTTTTGCCATATTTTTTTCTCTTAGAAAAAGTTGTTCTTTGGAATTGGTAATTTCTTTTAAAATCGACTATTTCTTGGTATGATTATTACACAAGACAAGTGTTTGTTCTATTCATAATTCCATTATAATATTAGCACAAAAAATATAAGTTGTATGATATCATCTGATTTAATAATGAGTTTATGCAAAGGGCATTACGATACTATAAAAATTTGAAAAAAATTTTTTAACTATAAGTGCGTTTCTCTCTACAAAAAACTCATTTGCCTTACATTATTAATAACATTAAATTAATGTCACGAGTTGGTAACAAAACAACATTAAGTCATATGAAGGAATGCTGAAAGTTTTTTAAAAAGTATAAAACTCATTATTTACGATTCTTTTTTTTTCGTGACAAAAATTTGAATGTTTTGTATGTTCACATGAACTTGCAGTAAAAAATATGAAAAACTTGAATAAAAAACATTTTTACAGCCAAAGAATAATTTTTCATTACTTTTTTGTTACAAACTATATGTATAAATATATTATCATTCTGTACTTTTTAAGAAGTCACTTCCAAGTCTAGTATTTTCTCTTCTTTAAGACGCTTTGATTGCAACAGAAAAGTCACTTCGAGTTCCTGCTTCATTTTTAAGTGAGTAAATCAAAGTTTCTTCTTCACTTATTAAAACTTCGTATGTTTATATGATTAAATAGCATCAAATTATATTAGACTTGGCAAAAATGATACTCCTCTTTTCATGGAAACTCAGCTTGAAAACCAAAAATGTCAAAATTCTTTCTTTATTATTTAACTGCTAAGAGAAGAACTTGTTTTGGACGATTACAATCATTCCCTGGTGGGAGAGAGGGTTGTTGCTGTATAATCCTAAATTAAGTCATTTCTAGAACGATATTGTGTTTGATTAAAAAAATAGAATTATAATTATAAATCCAGTAAGAGCTCTAAGACCAATATTTAAATATACAATAGATTGCAGAGGTAACATAATTAATTGGAGAGCATGGGAGTTTTAATTTTTGAGTAAAGGGGGTTTGCAAAAATCTTTGTTTTTAATTTTGTTTTAGAGTACCTCATAATTTCCCAGCAATCTCAATACATGTCTATTTAATGCAGAAGCAAAAATTATCACGAAATAGCAGTGCTGTGTTTTTTTACGCATATATAACTATTTTCGCGGATTTTACCGCTTGTAACTTATCGCATCCAGTATCACCTCGTATGAATGACGAGCTTTTTATACAAAAAAATTTGGCAAACGGTTATGACTAGCTGCCGTTTCATGTCAGTGCGATTTTTCAACTGCGAAATACAAGCTTTTATTCCGTTATTAACGACTATGAACGTACATGTGAATATCGACACACACGTATTCGCTGGAGGAAAAAATAGTCAGGTATGAATTTGGAAAAACTAAAAGGTAAATCGTGGAAGGGACTTTGCCGGGGGATTAAAAATAAAACAGATACGTGTAACACGTGCGATAAAAGAGTTTTAATCCCTGTGTTTATACTCACCATGTATTATTGTTGTTAATTTTTTTATACACAGGCAGAATGTTTTGGATGGATGGAACTAATGACACATGTCCGTACAGAGAACCAAAATTTTGGAGGCATGATGAATTTGTGTAAATTTTGGGATGAAATAGTATAAAAAATACCTGTTACTTGAGGCGAGAGTGTCTCAATTCCAACTTTATTGATCCCAAAAGATAAAAAAGCTGGATGGTCATCCTATTTAAGTAAAATTGATACATTTTGTCCATTTTATACATTCATACAAATTGATACAATTGCACCCGAGCTGAAACCATCATAATAATACTAATATCGAATTGTTATCTCTTGATCTGTCTTACCATTATGTACAATCACAAAAACAAAAAATAATATAGTAAATTCCGTAGGTACGTACTGCTGGAGTATAATTTGAATGTTCACGTTATTGATAAAATTGACAAATACAAATACGTGACCTACTATAGCTTTATTAAACAAAAGTACTTTTCAAAAGTACAGCACGACTGTTTTATAAAAAGAGTGATTACATCGTGCATGACGTGACCAATTGTTCAAAAGCTTTTTTTGTAATGGCTTCGAGTACATAACAAACAAATTATTTTTTAATAATAAAATTTTTTTTTTTAATATTTGATTTTTTTAATAATTTTTTTTTGACTTGTAAAAATATAAATAAACCATTTTTAACTTTTTTGAAAGTTTTAAAGATTGAGGTTGAATTTTAGAACTTTAAAGTGGATGATCTGTCCTGAGACGTCGATTACTCGTTGTAAATAAAAAAGACATTTTTTCTATATATCCTTTTGTAAGTCTCAGTACTTTCAAGGATTGAGGATTGAGGATTTAATCCAAGATAAACAAGTGTTGCACAAATCCTTATATTTGAACAAGAACTCATTGTTTTTATTACTTATGTTTTAACAACTCATACCTTCAGATTTGTCCGTAATTATAATTTTGGCTCTGTGAACAATATAAGGCACAGTCGAACCTTGAAACCCTTTTAAAATAATGAAAGCAGTCACTACTTCCAGCAGTGGATATTTTAATTCTTTCACTCAATAGAATCTAAGATGTAGCAATAACTACCATACTACCTCTCGGGGTAAAGTCACCTTGAAGCGCATATGGGCGCGTTGTATGAAAATCGGTCAGTGGACGCAAGAGAGTACATATTCTGGGTGTGCATATACACACACACACACTGATTCACGCGTGTTCAACTGCCCGGCGCTTTGCAAACAAATATACCCGTCCGCGATCAAAAGATAGAGACAAACATCTTCCTTTGGATCTAGTTTATTGCATTTCAATTCCCTGGAATTATGTGGCTGCTTTGAAAAAAAAAAAAAAAACCGCGAGCTTTACTCGCTCGCACCAACGGCGTTTACCATCAAAGGGAGAGGTGGATGCAAGTGATGATGTACGACCGGTTATTTATGCAAGATTGTCACGGATCTGCAGCGAAAGCAATCGTACCCACGTACGGTGGGGTGCAATCAGGACCCGTTACTATTCAATGAGGATCCGTCTACCTGTCCACACTAAGGCCAGCAAATTTAAACGAGAGAAGGACGAAAAAGTGCGTGATAAAATTTTTATGCTCCACCGTCCAGAAATATTTTCTGGTGTATGTTACGTTTCATCGCGAATGTAGAAATAGATGTGCTTGAAAATTGTATCACGCAGACGGGACAAGTGCGCTAGAATATTGAAATAATAGTGTGTATTAAGTTATTGAAAGCTACCGAATGATGTGGTGGATACCAGCGGTGCTTGTGCCAAATGCACGAAAGCCTGAGGCCATTGTTGCCCGACAATTTTCTGGCATTAACTCTGTAGTCGTCTCCGAGTGTACGTAGGTACGTGACAGCGATATTTCGGTGCAACATGCGACGTTTAATGCTCGAGGCCTAAGTGCGTTATCGAGTTTCTCTCTCCTGAATGGTTGGGGACGTACGTGGGGATACTTACTCTACGAACATTTTCTAATAGCTATAAAAGATATTCGGTAAAATGTTTTGACTTTGATTAATGATACCGTCTTCGTGTTTGAAGTACGGTGCCTTGTTGCCCTGACCGACCGAGAGAGAGGTAGGAGAGGTTGGACAATGTAGTAGTGCCTCTTTGTGTATATAATGAAAAAATTAAAGCAATAAAGAGTTTTGGACCTACCGAGGAGCTTCAAAAGTTAAATGCACTTATTTATCGTGATTTTTTGAGTAAAATCAAACGATTAGTTTTTTTGGACTAAATGGATTTTCTTCATTTTAAGTACAAAATCAAATGAGTGATCGTCTGTGTACTAACAACTTGATTAGTTTGAATAAATCACGCAAAATATAAAAATACCTTTAACCTTTTATAAAAGAATTAAGGAAATATTGGTTTTTCGTTGTGTTTGCTGATATTCTCTTGTTTAAAAATTGAAGTTTTGTTTCGCTTCGCGTATGTTGTCAATTACGATGCTATTCAATACTTTGACTACGAAAATTGATCTAAATAGTTTGACACTTGATTCAATATTTCTCCCATTTTACTAATTAGACACAGTTTGAGAAAAACATGTGTATGCAATTAAATAAAATTTGCAGCGCCATTAGCAGTATTTCGTTGTCCCGTTAATTTGTACACTACAAATCGTTTCAATCGTTAATTAAAAATCAAATTGACCCACTAAAGAGAATAAATTACCAATGATCGTGTGCTCTGGTGTGATGTTTGTTATTTCATTCATTTAAACGATCAAATATCTCTTTGATGGTAATTAAATACAATCAACAGACTCGTGGTCTTGTCATCGTTTGTTTGTCGTACTATCCGATTCCTTTTGCACGCAGTGCTTTGCAAAAATTTGCTTCACCCTTGATTGAAGGAAATTTGTGATTCATCGGTACTTACACTTGTACTCTTTTTGGTTGTTACATGGTATCCATAATATGGACAAAAATGAAATGTCTACTTTGACGCTTGATGAAGTGTCTTTCACATCATTAATTGATTTCCTACTCGATGATTTATCGATAATTCATAATCGCCTTATATTTTTTTCGTTTTGATCATTCGAAAGTAAAAACGAGCTCTTTTATTTAAATACAGTAGTACGAAAAGAAGTAGAGAAGCGTGAAAAGTGTAAATTGGTCACTTTAGCACATTGCGTTTGAGAGCATCCTGTACTTTTAAAAAGAACACTTTCAAATTAGTACAAGTTGTGGTATTTACGTGAATCCACTTGTAGCAGATTGGTATATATATGTTGTTTAAAAGTAAAGACTTGATGAAAATGGCATTAAGTTACTTAAAGAGTTTTTTTATGTATGTAAATTACTGAAAGATATGTTACTGAATGAATCAAGTGTAGGTAAATCATCGTTGGTATTACATAAAAATTATGTATAATTAAAATCTAAATCGGCTCGAATCTTGTACGAAGTTTCAGATTTACCTAAGTTGATGATGTATGTTTCAATAGTTTTTATCAGAGACAAACGTTTTTATGTCATTTTTACTGCACTGCTCGAATAACAAAATCATTTTTTGCAATAATTTCTTTTACAAACGTTTCACGTATTAGCGTTCGAAGACCAAGTCGGAGATCACAATGAAATACAGATTTTTATTCTGGTATGCAATGCAGATGTTGTAAAAAACTACAAAATTAGCGAATTAATAGTTTTCAGCTCATGATAAAATGTTACTAAAATTTAAAAAAAAATTAAATGATACGAAAGACGTGGAGCTAATTGACACTAAATCTTTTTGTTTGGTAAATTTTTCTCTAACATACCATCATAGTATTTCAAATGGCGAAAATTGTTTTGAAATAGCCCAAAACTGTTTTATAATTTGTTATTTTTTTCTTTGACATTTACTGACATGATATTAAGATAAAACTTGTTTTGATACAATAATAAACTATAAAAATGGTTGTCACGTAGTTTTACATGTATTAAATTATTTATTATATTATATTTGATATTAAATTACTATATGATTCGAACTTCGTTCTCATTATTCCATAAATTACAGTATTAATTGTTGGAAACAAAAATAAATTCATACAGTACCACAACTTAACGGATGGTATTTCACTGTGTACCAAATATTTGACAATTGTAGTCGTAAAGTCATAAACACACCCTCCAAAAAATTATGATTATCATCATGGATAAAAGACAAGTGTTGTTAAGAGCATAAAAAAACTTAAATGATTAGTGCATGTAACTATTCTTACAATCGGCTTGTGAAATTTGTTACTGTATTTTACTGTGAAATTTCCGAAAAAATTGGTGTCCTGATATTATCAGAATTTCACGTCAGAAGTGATTAACGCTTTTCTTTGCGTAGTGCTCTCATTAACATGTATTTTACGTTACTTTTCTCCTTAAGGGGGCTCCAGCGAGCACTGGTACCAACCCGAAAATAATTAGGTTAGTTGGTATTACTGCTGTAAATATATATATATGCGAGCAGGCGAGCACCATAATCTATATATATGTGTGTAACTGTATGGTAAACAAACAGCAGCTGCTGTCACGTACAGAACGTATTATTTAGAATTAGTTTTTTTTGTTATAACAAATGAAAGAAAGTGCCAATGAAAATGAAAAAACGTGGAGGAATTCTTCTCGAATTTCGATTGGGCTTCGCAAAGGTCAGTTTAAGAAGAAATCCATCGCAAAAAAAAAAGAGAGGTTAAAAAAAGACTTGTACANTGCAGTTAATATTTTTCAATCTTTTCTTTTATTTCCCAAAAAATCAAGTGCAAGTAATCCATATGAAAACACGATTAAAAAAAAGTTACAGATAACATACGATTCCTATGTAAGTACTTGCAGTGTTACTCTGAAATATTCAAAAGCGCGCGCCTTACGTCTCTACAAAACAAAAATGGCGTCTCGCCATGACCCTGCTAAAACAATGACTTGATCAATACTTTTCGAAATATCTCAACTGTTTCCACGGTTACATATATTTTTTAAGGTGCCATCTGAAAGCTGAGATTATTGTCTATAAAATGCTTACTGTCCCGATTCTTAACTCCTCGGTTACGGTTAGAAATTGGCGATGTTTTCACGTGACTCCATAAGAGGTTGTGTATAATGTGCGAACTTTGAGAGCAAATATCTCCAAATTTTCCACGGTTAGAGGGGTAAATGAGGACACCGTTGGAATCAGCGTGTTTTTATCTACCAATTAAGCTACCTGTGACCTCCTAACTCCTCCCGCTGGAGCCCCCTTAATTCGTTCTTAAAAGTCACTGACGGCTAATTTCTTTTTTATAATTTTTATTAACTAATTATTTGGAGAAATACCAAAAACCTTGTTTCTTATAATACATTGAATTTTAATTAGTACTCCAATAAGTTTTATATTCTATCCCATCTTTAACTTAATTGTGGAGGTAAGCATGTACATATACATCAAGGATAATTAATTAATTTTTGGAAAATTAAATTAAAACATTTTTCAATAACCTAATGACCCTAAAAGATAATTACAAGTAAATTATTTTTTAACGTCGTAGAGTATTGCGTTATACTGTGTTCTGTAGTACAATAGAAATTTCGAATTTTTCTGTGCCAATATTCAAATAAAATAACCAACAGACGAAGTAAAATTTACAATAATCTTCATTTATAATTTTACCCGAAGACATCATAATAAACAGTGTACAATAACTTACATACAAGAAATAACTTTAGAATAGCTCTATTAAAAACAATAACTAATAATAATTAAAAATAAAATGATCTGCAATGGTACATGGTATGCAATAATATTTAAAAATACGTCGAATCCTACCTTAATTTTGGTTTTACTGGCTTATAAAACGCACAAATAACTCTCAATTTGTAAATAATCTATTAAAACACTACTTCAATTGAACAAATACATCGCGACACTGACTAGTGGCATGATTAAAATAATGTGCTCACACCTCAAGCTGAAGGAACGACTTGTCCTCTGTTCTGTCACATGATATAGAATCTCTGCCTGTGGGACAGTATCACTCAATAGTTGTTCAACATGCAAATTGGGGTGGTTTTCACCTTCTGTGACTGTACTAACATTATAGTGGGTAGTTTCAGAAAATTTCCCATTTTTTGAGGCTGTACTGCTCACATTTTGTGTGCCATTACATTGACTTCCAACTTCTGTGACTACATCACCTTTATACTGTTGCTCATAATTGTATTGTTTTTTGGCTTTTAAAATTTCATCTCGAATCCACTTGACGTACAATGAAATCCGAGTAAAAATATCATTCTCTACAGATGCAAATCCAATCAAAAAAGTGTCGTTGCCATCGTTTTGTATTAAAATATCAGTTGCATACATGAGAAGATCCTGAAAAATTAACCATCCATTTTTGCAACTAGACTTCCGTAAAAAAAAAAAAAATGCATATTCTAAAGATTTACCTCGTTTCCTGTACTTGTAATGCACAAATTTTTCTTCAGTTTTGAAGTAGTACAACGCCCTCTCGCAAATTTGACTTCCAGAAAACCTATTCCAATGCGGTTAGTTTCATCAAAATATCGACGACCGACCAGCTTAGTAATTTTGTCACTGTCAATAAGTGCGTTTTCATCTGGCAGATTGATGACACTTACGAATCGGTTGACATCGATTTTTACCTCCAATTGTAAAACAACTATGTCATTCTGCTGAGTTCTGGAAATAGTTGTAAAGTTAAGTTTTGCACAATAATGCATTAAATTACACTTACGTAAACGTAATCATGCATCTTGGCTTACCTGTTATCGTAGTCACTATGGAAAAAAATTTTAGTAACATTACTTTTTTGTGTGTTCTCATCATTGGATTCAATTCCACCGGCAATAACTGTCAACATAGCCAAATCAAAACTGACGCAGTGGGCCCGTGACAACACAAAATTTTCTTCAATAAGTACACCACCGCATGAATATTCGTAATGATTTTGGCATGATTTTTCGATAGTGACGTAGTATGAAAATTCGTCCCTGTCACCCAAGTGTAGATCTGCCTTTGCAACTTTTACCAAAAAATTAAATGAATTTAAACACTTCACAATGGGCTTAGTTTTTTCAAAAACAAGTAAAATATTGTTACGTTTTCTCGATGCAAAGAGAAATCATGAAGTGAAGTATTGTTACGTCAATTTCACCACATACCGTATAGCGACATTAACAAAAAACATTTACTTAGGATCACCAAAAAGGCCACGATAATTTTAGAAAGAACCATTTTAAGGTGACAAGAAAGTTCAAATGCCTGTTTTTGACATAACGGTTTCGTATTTAAAGTGAAAGACTAATGTGGACGACTCGTCCAATCGATTTATTACTTATACATTTTGGAAAGAATGTATAGTGAAATATGTTTGTAGTAGTCGTTGGAGGGGGTAAATAGTAATGACAGCAGAGCCACTGGTGAGAGAAGAGTGCAAACTTATGTAGAAATTTCGAGAACTCGATACATTTTTGAATGTACAAAATTAACTTCTTTTCGTCAAGCCTTAAAATAAAAATGACGGAATGAATTGTGTTTATGGAAAAAAAATTTTAACCTCAAAGAGTAATCGCTTTGGTCAGAAAATTTGGGGATAAATATTCAAGTGTCATTCCTTGATGTCCTGAAAATACGTGAATTAATTTTCAGATCTCAACGTTTCGTCAAAAATATTCTGGAAGCTGTCATGCTTCATGCTGAGTGTATTTGTTGTTGTTCTTTTTTTAAATTTTTTTTAAGAACTTCTAAACCTATTGTTAAAAATAATTTAAAAATAATTTACAAACATTTGGAAAAATTTTTTATACAACAAAAAAGTTGAAATAGTATCGCTATCGAAGCTCCCCATAGTATATCCCCCTATGCCACACAGAAAAAATAATTTCGAAATTTTTGTCTACTCTTATTCCTACTTCGTAAATTTTTTTTTTTTTAATGACTTCGACATAACGTATGCCTCATAAAATACCTTGCACTTAAAGAAGCAAATTATACCGAGGGCAATTTGATTCTCAAACTAGTAGTTATAGTATTATGTACTTGTCTTTCTCCATCTCTCTGCGTCTGCAGCTCTTTCACGAAGCACAGCTTTCGCTCGAATTTCATAAGAAATTTAAGGCCCGTCATTTCCTAGCGGAAAGGATACTCCACCGAGTTATAAAACGCGCAGCAAGGAGCGGTTCTTTCCTTCGCTCCTCCGGTAAGGGGTTTACGTGGGCGTCGATGCGGCACCGAGGAGGTGCTAAAGCGCAGAGCGCGTTTGTCCGAGCGGGCGTTTTACGTCTCAGCCGTTAACTCGATTTTGCGTGCACTCTGGCACTTACTCGCGTCTCTCTCGCTATTTTTCACTCAAACAGGGGATTCTCGTTCTTCAATTATATCCTCATTAATTGGCGGATAAACTAGCCAACTTTATACTACAGGGTTTTCTGTTTTTCTCTTGACTTCTCGTATACGTAGTTCATCTTGTTTTTTGTACATCGTTACTGATTACAAAAATAAAAGTTGCTGAAAAAAAAAGATTCCTCATTAGTGTCCACAGGATCATTTAACACCTTTATTTTATTAATCATGCAGGAAAGCTTACGAATGTGTAAGTATGCTATTACGAGTGAACGACCCTTACTACAGGAAGAGACGTTTTTATTAACTTAAAAAAAAAAAAATTCATGTCCTGGTATGCAGTTGTGTGATTTTTCGTTGATTCTAAGAATTTCTATGTTAAATGAGACATTATAGTGGCTCCTTTGTCTTGAGAATGTTAAATAAAATTAGAGTGACCCAATAACTCGCTTCTCACAATGGAAAATATTAATTTTTTAAACACGGATCCTTTGTTTTGTATTGATTTTGTAAAAACTGGTAAGGAATAATTTTTCTTATTTGAAATGTTTTAAACAGATTATTCTTTGCAAACAAAAAAAAAAACAAGTTCCCTTGCGTATATGATATGGGATGCAATAGGAAAAGAAAAGTTTGTTGCCAAAAAAAAAAAAAAAAAGATTTTAAAAGGTGAAAAAAACTAGAATGCAACGTAAAACATTGACAACGAAAATCGACTCTAAAGTGAGATTTATATGGTTAAAAAAAACATTTACGTTCAAAATGATTGATACTGCAAACACTACCAAAATAGTAAAATGCTCCTATCGTATTGTGAAAAAATTCACTTCGTAGAAATATCCATAAAGTTAAATTTATCCTTTGTTACAACGATACCTTTACAAGGAAGAACAAGTATAAACTCCTGTAAAATTTTATATCTCTGTAGACGGTGAACACTTAAAAATCTCGTAGTAGATTCCAAAGGGCGATTCCATTTTGTGTTAAATAGCTCCACGTTACCCTAACAATTAGTGTCATCGAAACAGAATGAATAACCAGGAGCGTCAAAAGCCCCGTCACTTCCACCCATCTCTTGTATTTGTCCGCGTGAGAAAGTTTACAACAACAAGAAAAAAAAAAAAAAAAAAAAAAAAAAAAAAAAAAAAGAAAAAGATAGACGGAAGACTACCTCTAATTATTGGGAGCAAGTATTTGCCGGGAGTGATAAGAGAAAGGACGGAGAGGGAGAGCGAAGCCCGAATAATCGCCAGAGAGGAGAGAGAGAGAGAGTGAGAGCCCAGACAAGACGGGGCTTTAATGGGCTTAACAGGACTGGCGCTACTGTTCGTCGTTGGTGCTGTGTTGGGCTGTCAGGTGCAGGTGATTGGAGCTTGAACAGTACCGGTGGCTGCTGTACCGGTAATGGCAGTAGTCGAGGAAAATATGAAATTTCAAAAGCAGCCAGCCACTCGAGCTCACCTCTCACTCTATAATATATATATATCTCTACGGGAGGTGGATAAACAAGCCAAAGGATAAAGGGAAAAGAAGTTGTACGAAAGTGTTGATTATCCTCTGATGAAATACATGAGGAAAACAATTACTGCTGGGAGAGTATAACCTTGTCTTTCGAAAATTATCGGCTTCTAGCGGGGGTCATATTGGCTTTCTTATTTCACGGATGATTACTTACCAACTTCCTGTACGCGATGTCTGGGAATAAACACTTCATCTAGACCATACGAAAAAAAGCCACAAAAGACGGCATTGCGCCAGTTAATTTTGTTGCGAGCAATATATTTTAGAATATGGAGCAAAAGGAAAAAAAAATAAAAATTGTACTTTGTCTAACTAAAAACCTTAACAACTATGTATTTGACATTAATTTATTTTTTGTCATTTAAAATAATAATAATGATTAAAAAAATATGTATATATATTTTTATAGTTTGTAGCATTAAAACGTTTTCATTTTTTTGTTTTTTTTTTTTTACTAGAAAAATTAATGCAACCTTTAGAATAATTAGGAAAATAATGAAAAACTGCTTTGATTTTAAAAGAAAAACATTTTAGTTTTTAAAATATTTTTCAGGATTTTTAATTGATTGTTTCAAACTAATTAATAAATCATACGTAAAAATACGGTTCTATTAAATTTTTGAATCATTTTTCGATATTTCAAAAGTATTTTTATGTTACATTTAGTTGTTTTTTAACCCAAGACATAATTTTTGCAGCAAATCTATTGCTATTATTTAAGTACTAGCATCAGTAAAAATTTTATTAAAAATTTGAATTTTTTCTGGAGGTATCTAGTAAATTAGATATGAAAAGAAAAATATTTCAGATCTGATGATAATGGAAAAAAATTCTTTAATCTTCAAAAATAACCTAAAGATAATTAAAGAATGGAAAAATTATTACAGAAACTGCAATAAGTCATTAAGAAAAGGTTCTGTATCAATAAAAGTTTTTAGTAATGTTCCTCAATTCACATGGTCAAATTGAAAATTATATAAAGAAACTTTTATGAGTACTACGTTTATTCCAAGTTGTCACCCATTTTTTACAGAAAATTTATATTTAAGAAAAAGGAAAATAATTATTTTTATCCAGCTAGACATACAGGAAAAATTGTGATTTGAGGTTTACATAAACATGTTTAGGTTTTACAGTGGATTCATATCAATGTCACTTGCTATAATCATAATAACATATTTTTGAAAATTTCAGAAGAATAAAAATATCAATAAAAATGTATTAAAAGATTTATCTCGCAGTTTCCACATGCAAAAATATCCTCCTGACTAAAAAAATATATTTCTCGCGTCAAGTGATTAAATTAAATAATTATCAGCCACTCACGAAATCAAAGCTTTCACAGCTCTTGGACGACCGTGACTGAAAAAAATTCTAGGTCCCCATGAATTCCACCGTAATTACTCGACAACGTGCAGTGAAAGAAATCTCGTCGTGATTGGAAAAAAAGGAAGTAAATTAAATGAGAAAAAAAGAGAGTTACCCGCTCATCGTCTCAAATTTCGCTGCATCCTCGGAAATCAGCCATCGATTAAATTTAATTAGGAAACTCGTGTGAGTTTCCTCGATTCCTCCTTCCGTCTTTCTCTTTTTTTTTTTTCATTGGCGTTAACCTTTTTGTAGTTTCGAAAACTCGCCAAAGCTGAAAAAATTCCAAGCTCACTCGATCGAACAAAAAGTCACGAAAGTTCGTAAAAGGCCACTGACACGCGCGTCCAGTAAACGACCGCGCCTCTTTTCAATTACCCCCCACAGCTACTGCTGGTGCAACTACAACTAACCCTTTTGGTCATTTCCTGCTTCCATTACCGATCCTTAATCAAGTCCGAAAATTACTCGCACGAAGATGTCAAGGCAGCTTCGACTATCCCTACCCCTGGAGCACACTCCCAGAGAGAGAGAGAGAAAGGGGTCTAGGGAAAGTTTTAATCGGAATGTACTAAATCGAATCACGTCCAATATTTGGGAGGGTCGCCTGGAAGTCTGAAAGGAGAGAAATCGCTGCTGGAGGGAGGACGGAGAAGTATTTCTTCCGTTTCCGGGTGTTCGGGACAACAATATTTTTTCAAGCAAAGGAGCCAAGCTTGGCAAAACATGTATGTGCGGAAGATGCAATCGAGCATCTGTGGTTGGGGAATAGTAACGAGAAAGTACGGTGG